ATACCATATTTCAAGTAAAAATTAGAAATTAAAATATTATTTGATAGAAAATTTTTTATCAATAATTTCGAGTCATTAAAATTTCAGAGTAGCGAATAACCAAGTGAAAATTGTATAATAATTTCATAATTCCTTTGAGAGCTCATTTTAGGTATATTAAAGAGTAATCATTTCCTTCGTTTCCTTTTAATTACTTATTTTAGTCGCGATATTATATTTCAAGTTCAAATTGAAAATTAAGTTTCATTGAACGTAAAAGAAATGGTTATTCTCGGAAATAAATTTCGAGCGACGAATGTGTTCAAAGTAATGATCGTTAAAATGGAAATTGTATAATAATGTTAATCAATGATTTCCGTCAGATCAAAAACTTCACTGAATCCAATCATTCTTCTGTTGGAACGGACACCGGAAATTGCGTTCCTCGACGCGTTGTCCTACTTTCCTCTGGTGTACTGGATGCGAGGAACCATCGACTGTTTGGACGATCTTCTTCGTGCCGGTATCACACTCGCAGAAAATGTCGTGGTCGTAAACAAGGAACTTAGCAATTCCGCGGAGGAAGATACTTTGGCCGACTGTAATACGATCGTCGCGGTACAGACGATGTTCAAGTGAGTGTTTCGAGATTTTTCGTTAATAAAAAGGACAGTGAAGTATAGAAATTTTCCGAGACACTGAGAATGTGAACAGCTGAAAATTAAATTATCCAACAATGTACCTTTTCATGTAGGAATTCGTAAATTTAAAGCTACTGTACGTAAACGTAAGAAATTATGGAATTATTCATATTAGATTGCCCAATAAAAGTTATCTCAATTTGAAAACAAGATTTTCCGTTAATAAAAATAATAGTGAAGTGTGGATTATTCACTTTTCTATAAGTAAAAATTCTTGAATTTAAAGCTTCACTTTATAAAAACAAGAAATTATGAAATTATTCACATTAGAATTGTCAAATTTGGCAATAAAATTAATCTCAACTTAACACCATTATTTCTATATCCGCAGATTCTTTCCCAGCATAAAAAGCATAACGGAGCTCTCGCAGTCGAGCAACATGCGTTTCATGCAATTCAGGGCGCACGACAAGTACGCTCTTCATCTCAGCAAAATGGAAAAGGTATCATCCACTCTAACTTTTTTCCAGGAATTTCCAATCGATGTAACATAATTTGGACTAATTCGAAATTAATCGATCCACTAGTTTTCAAACGATATTACCGCCTCCTATTACAAAGTGACATTTTAAATGGAACCTTCTACGTCGCGAACGAAGTATACTCAATCTCCCTTGTTAGTGTGCAAACTGTTACAGATACTTTTTAATTAAGCAACGAAACTTCTGTTCATGCTTGAATTTCTGATAATACTCAAGATCAGTTATCTTAAACTCACTCTCTCTCTCTCTCTCTGTCGTGTTCTCGTGCAACGTTGCTTGTCGAGTTTATAAGCGCGCATACTTGACCTTTACTTTGTTACTTTATACGTATAAGGGAAATTTTATTACACTATGGATGCGAGGCAACTAACTAAGCTCTTCCCGTTTCATGGTGAAAAGCTAATCACCTTTGAAACTTCCCCTTCGCAGTACTTATCGGATATAATAGATTGTGCACACTGCCCTGCAACAAAGCGATCAAAGTTTTACGATAAATCTGTCGATATCACAGCGTTTTAAGCGCATTTTACGGTACGATACGTGATATTTTCGAATTGAACGACATTCCGTTGTAAAATTGTGGAGAAATGAGAATTGACGAATTTTCTGATTGTAATATTTTGGCAACTTTTCAAATAAGCTTTTTCGTTATTTTACGCAGAGAGAAAAAGAAAGAGGATCGCACATATCGTACATGTTTCGATTACCCTTCGCGGCCGGAAGTGTCTTCAGCGCCTCCATGCTGGATACACTTCTCTACCAAGCCTTCGTCAAGGACTACATGATCACGTTCGTGAGATTGCTGCTGGGTGTGGATCAAGCTCCTGGGTCTGGCTTCTTGACATCTGTAAGGATACGAATTAACGCAATTATTCCGAATTTTATTTTACTTCATTTCCTGCACAAAAATACCTGTGGCTTTAAGAAAATTCGAGAAAAATAATTATGAAATGAAATTCATCTCTGGAAATCATTGAAAGTCTCAAAATTGTGTTTTACCCAACTTCACTTCTCGTGTCATTGAAAATAAAGGAGATACTTGGGCGCTTATGCCTGCACAAAAATACCGGTGTCCTCAAAAAAATTCGAAAAAGTGACCGTAACACAAATTTCCTCTTTCGAAATCATTCAAACTCTCAAAATCGATTTTTCCACGTTTCTCGTGTCATTGAGAACAAAGGAGATATTTCGGTGCTTGTGCCTGCACCAAAATACCTTGAAAAAATTCGAAAAAAGTGACCATAACAAAAATTTCCTCTTTCGAAACAATTCAAAGTCTCAAAATTAATTTTTCCACGTTTCCCGTGTCATTATAAACTTAGGTGCTTGTGCCTGCACAAAAATACCGGTGACCTTGAAAATAAATTTCCTCTTTCAAAATCAAAGTCTCGAAATTGTATTTTACACATTTTTCACATCATCGAAAAACAAAAGGTGTTCAGCTTACGCTTAGACACCCTGTATTAACCGCACATTATGTAATCCTCCAGCTACCTATGCTAATTAACTCCAAAACTGCCCCGCTAATTTTCCAAAGTAAATCTAATCAGGCTTTCCCTGCTTACTTGGTAATTAGAAACTTCGTATACTTCTCATTGCGCGTAATTTCAGATGAGAATCACGAAGGACGACATGTGGATCAGGACATACGGCAGGCTGTACCAGAAACTCTGTTCAACGACCTGCGAGATCCCAATTGGCATTTACAGAACGCAGGACACCACTGTCTCCGACACGTCTCACGTGAGTAAAACGATGAACTCTATCCACTGATAGTCGAACGATAATTCAGAGTTCGTGTAATATCTTTTGCTCTGTATCTATCCCGGTGTCAGCTCGTGCTGCCTTTCTTAGAGACTTTCTTGATCCCTTTCAATGAGAATCAGAGGAGCGTGAGGCTCTTGCATCTTGTTGAAACGATGCTCGTGGCACGTCCTTCGATCCCGAACGTGTACATTTTTTTTCAACCTGCATCGTGTTAGATATGTTGAGTAGAATCATAATTAATGTCCAGTGAAATTTGCGCAATGTCTCGATTGGAACGAAACAATTAACACTGTCGTTCGTAAGTATCGAAGGGGAAAGTATTGTATGACTTAAATCACATTTCTTCGCCAAATTTGGTACCATGTATGAATTATTATTTTTTGGAATATTTTCTGAATTTTAATAATTGTGCACTAATTTTTTTAGACTTGCTTCGTGTCCAGGAAGTGTTTTAATATTTATAGACGAGAGTGTACATCTGAAATTTATATGTGCACCAGAAAATTTGGAAGTAAATATTTTGGAAAACCTTTGAAAATAATTGTGAACAATTTGGACATCACTTATGACTCAATCGAATATTATATGTATACATATTAGTGTCAATTGGAACGCTTCTTCTACGCGTTACTACGATCGATTGGTGATCGATTTTAGTGTATTTTTTTTTTTATGAACGTGCAATGATTCTTACATAAAATTGTATCGATAGAATATAAGATATTGTATAATATATTTCTTTAAATAGGTGATACTTATTTTCGAGTGGTCACTGTGATCTGCGACGTTTCGTGAAGATTTAGATTTTAGATCTTAGCCTGTAGACGATGTAGAGATTTATATATTAATTTACACTTCGTTAGAGTTAGGATTTAGTTGACAGATGTAACGATTTATTATCAATTTTCGATGTTTACATAGGACACGGGTCTTTGAAACGTACATGCAGGCTGCAGTGAACATTTGAAAGAGAAAGAATGAAGCTACTATAAAATATTTTATTCACTGTTTCTGGTGACCTAACTTTTTTCAATTTTTTTTCGAATTGTATAACAGGTGCAGGATGTTCAGTAGATTCAACAAGCAACTCTTAAATCTTTAACGACTTTAAAATAATCAAAAATTAATCTGCCTGCAAAGGGTTCTAAAATATCGCTAATAAAATACATTGGTACTGCAATATTAAATATCCCAAATTATATTAAAAAATGCAAATTCCAATTGTCAACTGCAATACAGGATGCTTAACAACATTTTTTTTTACATGCATTCTTTGCAAAAGAAAAGAAGATTCCAAAAATGGTGTCCAAGTGGAAACTCTGAGGAGAAAACAAATTTGTCAATATCATATATATTGTTTTTCTAAAAAAGTTTTTCCAAAGCACTCTGTAGAAAGAAATGATATTGTAGTATCGGGGCCTCCATCACCAAATAGGAAACCAACAGGGGAGAATATAGCGCGCGCAGTTGGGGTAGTGCGCAAAGCCTCGGCTTGCTAAGCCGAAGGTCCCGGGTTCGATTCCCGCTTGGGTCCCACAAAATTTTTCCGTCGGTTTCTACAATATTATTTCAAATTGAGCTTTGGTTCGTTGATTCCATTACGTCTACGACTTATATGATTCTTCAGAGCGCTTAAAACAAAAATTTCCTTTTCTATCCAAGAATGTATCAACAATAATTGCAAACAAGTAAACACTCTTTGAAGGCAATACACATTTGTCAATACGACACATCGTGTTATTACTTTAGTTTCTCTAAAAAAAAGTTCACATTCATCTCTACAAAGAAACGAAATCTGCGAGCATCCTGCGCGTTCCTATTTACGTAGGAAGCTCAGCGAACGAGCGACGACGAACGATAATAAATCGTAGAACGATAGCCACCGATCGCGTGTTGTAATAGTAAGAAACGATAAAAGCTCGAGCAGCGGCCGTACATCGAAATATCGCGACAACGGTGGGCTGTCCTTAGTAAGGGTAGAATTGCTTGTCGTTTTGACAGGGCGACTCAGACGCGGAGAGCGACGCCGGCGTCGGCGTGACGTACAAGGTGCGTCATTCGGCGGCAGCTTCGTGCCTTGCAAATTGCGCCACCCGCGACAAGGGTGCCTCAGCCGTGAGTACAGTGTCGACGTTGTCTGGTCGCCAGTTTTCTCTCTCGATCGACTTTACCTCCACTTACTCTCTATATGTGTATATTTATTACTGTCTCACCATACTTTTCTCTCCTCCCTTTTGTACAAACTCGTTCGTCGCCACTTCACATCTACTTCTCACCATTTCTCTATCTATCTATACTCTACCTTGTCTTACCTGATACACACACTTTTCTCTCTCTCGATCGTTTCATCCCACACCCCTTAATTCTTCCCTCCTTCTGTCGGTGTTTGATAAAGCTCGTTACCACGCTAACATATTGCAGAGCGCATGCCGCGGTGTACCAAGCAGTCAGTGGCTTCCGGCCTGAACGCTCAGGACTCTCTGTTCCGTCTTCACCGCCTAAATTGCCCCCTCGATGATCCATCCAGAGGGTTCACACTCGACTTTCTTAACGATTGTCGATACGACGGACAGACGATGCTTGATAAACGTTCGATCTTCTACAATTTTAGTTATCTAGAACAAAGTCGAGTAGATTTAACTTACCGTCGAAGATTTATCAACCACTGGTCTGTCCGAAAGAAAGCACTAACAGCGTACTCGTCCGTTTAACTAAATCACCCATCTTCAATTCACCATTAAAAACTCCTATCTGTTCTCTCTTCGAAACAGTACTCGGTGAGCCTCGGCGACGAAGCCCGCGACAACCACTCCCAGCAGATCGAGAGAGCCGAGATCGCCAATCTGGTCCGTTCCCGGATGGAGTCGTTGAACCTACCGGTAGCTGACTACGACGACGTCTCGGAGAAACGAAACAGCCTGTCCTACGTGATCATCAACCCCAGCTGCGATCTGAAGCTCGAAGAGGGCGACATCGTGTACCTGGTGCGACCTAGTCCCTTCTCCGCGCAGAAGACCTTCGAACGGCACAATTCGAGGAGAAAGAGCAACATCAGCTTCTGTTCGGCTCAGTTGGTGTCTCAGATGAGCGCTGCGGTGGCACAAGTCGGTCTACCGGGCGCTGGAAGTCGTCGAGGATCAGGGATCGGTCTTCCCAGGGCTCCTCCGTTGAGCACCACGAAATCGAACTCGCTGTCTCTGCCGGACAGTCCCACGGTGGCTGGTACACTTCGCGGTCGGTCCAACTCTCTGCGAGTGGTCGACGATATTCTGCTGAGACGTTCGAACTCGTTGAGGCAAGGACTGACGATGAGCAGGCGAAAGAGTAGCCTGGAGGACATAGGTTTAGGTGCACTGTCCCATCCTTCGAATCACAACCCGATTAAAATAGCACTGAACGGATCTATCGGTCTGGAGGTGACCCCGCCTGAAGAAGGCTCTCAGGCTGGTGTAGCGAGCAACACGGGAATCCTGGACGTAGGTCTGCCGTCTATGCCAGAGTTGACCGCTGCATTGGGATCGAACATGGATCCTAGCTTCGGTGGTTCACTGGGCGGATTGTACGACCAGCCGAACCTTCAGGGTCCACTTGGATCGCAGTCGCCGCAGATCCAAGGCGGTACACAGGATCCTCAGCATATACAAGGGACAATCGTATGATATAACCTTATGTGGGGACGCAGGCTCTCCGGCGTGGTGCGTAACAAATGGCTGTAGCGTTCCCACATTACACGTCAAGATCAATCGGGTAGGATGTTGAGGTGGTAGACTAGGTTGTATCTCAGCATCCTGACTGATTTTCGTGGGACTGAATGACGGTGGTGATGATGATCGTAGGATTGTGCGAGACGGCCGGAGAGCAAGGTGTTCGCAGTGACACATCGAAGAAGATGATGGATAACCGTAACTAGAGAGAGAGAGAGAGAGAGAGATTATCACGGATACGGTGAATAGGTTAGATGAATTTTTTTACTACGTTCCCTTTTTCGTAGATTCAGTTATAGATTAGCGGCTACAGCACGGTTCGCGCATGAACCATCGGGGACCTAAACGAGGCGACACAGAGTCGCGACTGTGATATGCCAGGAACGCTGATCTTTTGTTCTTCTGTGCGGTTCAACCGAGCTGGGCATATTCTAGCATTGTTGACCATTTCAAGGTTCTTTAGAGTTAACTGTGAATTTTAATTATTCGACAAGTAAGATACAATGTTTAACAAATTTTCGATATTTTCATCGATGATAATCAACGTGAAGCTTCTCTTCATATACACTTTCATTTAACCCTCGGACAGCGGATGACGTGATAGTCTTACGCATGGCGGATGCTGGGTCAAATATGACCCAAAATTAAAATCTTTCTCATACACAAATGAAACTACATTTTCTTATTTTATTGAGCATTATATTGTTTAAAATTATACCAATATATTATGATTAATATAACAAACATACATATAATATAAGAAAAGTAGAATCGTGACTCTGTTTCGAATATTGGTTAAAACAAAAAACATCTAAAAATTGTAGAGAAGCTGACAATCAAATTTGAAACGTGTTAAACTTGTTCGGAATACTCTAAACAACTCTAAATAACGAAAGAAAATTTCTGTAAAAAAAAGTCGATAGAATTCTATCAAATATTGAGACAAATATTGCATATTGAAATTACGAAGGAATAATTATTCGATCGAATCTTTCGTTCAAGCTGCGTCCAGCTCTGTTGACGTGCAGTCGTTTTATCGACGCTGCGATACTGTTTTAGTGATAATTTTCAATTCGTAGGTAGTGCAGTCACAATTTTTCCAAGCAACCTAATTTTTTCAGAGGAGCTGCGAGTCTTTGTTTAACAAAATACTCTTCAATATGTTCTCGTCGTGTTGTACGTAGTGGGCTACGTTCTTAAAACGTTTTGCTCTCTAGTCGGCTCTGGCGTCTCGACCTCCGTAGATCGAAAATCTTCGTTAATCCAGTCGACCACGAGAATGTGCTCTAGATCGAAAAATTCACGATGGCGAGTGCCATCAGAGGTCCAGCGACGCGATTAATCAATTTGAGAAACTATTAGAGCATAAAGAAAGCGCAACTTGTGACGATGGACCAGAGGTATGTTGTGTTTAGAAATTTTATTCGTCGTTAATGTGTCTAGTTTACGTTTGTCAGATGTACGAAATATACTTAGGAGGAAAATCAACGATATAAAAGTCAAATTTGAAAAATTCGATATCTATAGTAAATTGTTCGAATATTCCAATCGTTTAGAATTTGATATAATAAATACGTAATATCCTGCTGTTGTTAATTAAAACTATCTTTTAGTCTTGTTCATCTCACCAGACCGAGATAATTTTATTTATACTCGAAAATTCATATTTTGACAATCACTGCAGCAAATTACTAATATTACATTGCAAACAGTTTACAATATATAAAATTGTAAATTCATATTTCGAACTCATCTCTGATTTTCATTTTTCTTTTAAATTAATGAAAGAACTGTAAAATAAAGGAAGATACATCGACGCGAATTTATCGAAAATTCGTTCTTCTTGAACAAGAAAAGTGTTATATAATCGTATTTATTCTATATATCGTATTAGAAGAAATTCTAAAAAATCGTAGAAATTCTTGTCCTTCGTCACACGTTCTCGAGATAGCTAAGAGGAGCGTAGGTAGGAGAAAAGAAACGTCTCCCTATTGCAAGCCCCGATTCTTACTTAGAACCGCGTTCGTCGAGTGAACGTGAGATAAATTTTGTACTAGAACCAATTTACGACGAGAGTATATCATATAAATATGATTATAAATATTAACGAAAAAAGAAAAAGAAGAAAATACACGCGACCATTCTTAATCATATCACGCGAGAAACAGTGGCATCGATCGGTGGAGGATCATTATACACGTAGAGAGGACGAGCAGAGGATCTTAAACGTGTATTAAGAAAGAACGATCGAGTCGAGATTCTAGAATCGTGAATTAGAACAATTTGAAAAAAAAGAAAATACACGAAAATCCTTCGAACTATCGAAGTTCTGGAAGCTCGATTCGAAAGCTTTGAACGACGCGTGAAAGGGATAATCGTTTAGCCGAGAATGTATGTAACGTAGATTTGCGACTCGATCGAACAAAGGTTACTCACTTTTACGCGAATACACTCTTTTCTTCTCTTCTAATGATTAGTTTAAAAAAGAAAAAAATGAGAAAAAAAATACGATTAATCCATATTGGAATCTTTTATCTAACGAAGTTTTTCGGAATATTTCATATATCTAATCGGACGAGGCAAAATGTTTGTTCTTAGCGATGAAAGAGAAAAAAGTGAGCGAGAAAAAAAAAACAGTTTCGACAATCTGTTCAAATCAGTTAGGTGAATACATTTACGTAGGCGTCGTTAGGAACGACTTAATTGTATCTTATATATTTCTTGACTCGACGCTTCGAGCCAGTTGCAATCATTTCTCGACCAATTTACACGTTTTTCCGACCAGACGTCGTCTTATCGAGTACCTGCTTCGATGCTGCTTCCGCTACGGCCGATCGGTTTGCCGATTCAATTATATCAGCGATCGGGATTAGCTTCATTTTCCGGTTCTGGGTCGTGGAAAGTTATTCGTCGTGATGTTTCTTCGCATATCGAGAGCCTCGATAGTCGAGATTTCAATGAAAGCTGGACGGTCGATTTCATTTCCACGTGACAAAGGAACAACGAATGGTTTTTGTTGTTGTTGTTGTTGTTGTTGTAATAGTGTGTACTCGAGCCATCCACTGGCCTGCACAATTTTTCAGCTCTGTATTTAAAAACGATCATTTTCTCGAGGGTTCAATCGTTCAAATGCCCATTTGCACAATTTCCACTTAATATCGAAAAATGATCCTCTAAATGGTTAAATACGTTGTACATATATTATTTAAAAGAATAAGAGTGAGATTAATACAGTGTTAAGTTATTGGAAGTGAAATTTACTTTTTTCAATGCACACTTGATCGATTGTTGTTGTAAATATGTTTAACTAAAATTAGGTTGTAATTATACGTACATCTTTCGTTCTTGTTTTTCTTTTCTTTTTTTAAATGCTGATTGTAATGAAAATATTTGGAGGAAATGGTGAAAATTTGTTACATGTTCTGTCAGAATTATCGAATCTACGTACTATCGCTTATTTCACGTATCGCACAACTTCGACTTTTACTTATGAAACGAAGACGCGAAGGAAATTCACTTCGTATCAGAAATCATTGACCTCGATCACTACCGAACGAAACAATCACCGTAAAAAGACCTACTTGCGTGGGTTCGTTCTTCAGTCTGAACCCAATGAAACGAAAGAGAGTCTCCAATTTTCGTTTTAACGTGTAACGAAGCGAATCAGTCGTACTCTCATTCAATCTCTATAATTAACATGCTCGTTATCCTATTTAACCCGAGGAATGCAAACGAAATTTTTGTCGGTCATGTCGCGTCGTTCATCCATTAAGCGAACATATTTCACACACGCTCTCTTTAAGGATCTACTTCTACGTAGACCCGTTTTCTGCCTCTTTAACATTCTCTCCCTCATTAACTCTCTGTCTTTCTCACCTTTTTGATTAGCGTTTAACGAAACCCGTCCCAACTACGAAACGCCGATCATCTTCGTTCACGCTGATGGCTCGCAGAGTTTTGTACATACGTTGGAAGGCAGCCGTGTGGTACTTTTTTTGTCAAACATGGGTTACGGTGATTTTCTACTAACGACGAACGCTCTGTGAGACGGGAGAAAAGAAATTATATACACCGAGTGGACCACTTAAAACAGAATTAATTATCTTCGAATCATCTTCTCTAATTATGGCGGTAGGAGAACATTTTTCTCTGTAATTTAAATGATTTCAAAGGGTGAATAAGACGAGACAAAAATTGTTTTCTGTTGTTTGACACTAATTTATGCATTTTTTTTCTACTGTACTTTGTAGCAGACTTCGATGTGCAACTAACCCTAGTACGGTGCTCGGGTCTTTTTTGACCCATCGCCATCTTATTTTTTAAAACTTAAAATTTTAGATCAAATGTGAATCCTCCTTTCACTTTTTGCCATTTTCGTCCATCTTATTCGTTCTTTGAAATTACTTAAATTACGTGTAAAAATTTTCTCTTGCCACTGTAGGTAAAGAAGATAACTGGCTTGTTTTATGTGAGTTACCCTGTATATTCGCGTCAATCGAACACCTCTGTATTACGTTTCGATCTGTGAACAGCGATTTTTCTAAATGTTTCGAACACTTTCGAATATGAAACATAATATCTAAAAGGTCGGAAATGTGTGACTATGGATGTGGAATTCGAGTGAGTAGGAATTACGAACTTTCGAGTTTGAGGACATCGATGGATACTATATGTTCGTAGTGCTCGCGATAAGTAGTTGTATGTTACGGGTGTTCTTTTTATTTCACTCCTCTATGATCTGACACAACGTGAAATTTTTCGTATCTTCTTCCTTTCGAACACATTGTCGTATCGAAATTTTGAAATAATATATATATAAACAGATTATACTATTTTTCTTTTTTGGGACTTAAACGACACGTGTCATTTGTAGAGGATTGAATTTGAAAAGAAGCAACACCCAATGTTAGCGAAATGAAATTGTCAGACACGATTAAAACTCTGAAATTATAAAATTTCGACGAACGATTCTCGCAGAATTCAGCGAATTCTGTCCCCGATTCTTGTATTTTTCGATACCAAAAAGTATTCTACCACTTCTCTACCGACACTCAACATCGATCGAAGAAGAAACGAAACAAACTGGAGAACAATAAAAGCAAGAATTAACAAGGAGAAAAAGTTGTAAGAATAAATCGAAATTATAAGGAGTACTAATAACGCAAGAACATTGTTCCAACAGTGTACATAGGTTTAATTGTCATAAGGATCGATCGGAAACCAACGTGACCTGAAACTAGAAAAGCGAGTAGCGTGTTATTACTGTGCGTTGTCGTTTCGAGCAACCGAAACGAACAAAAAAAAAAAAAATGCGATGTGAAAGTAACAAAAAAAAAAAACGAAAAAAAAAAACTGTTTTTCGAATATATGTGAAATATTCTAGTCACGTCCGACATAAGGGAATCGATTGATTGTCCGCGATTCTGTTTAAACATTTGTATAAACGTATTTAACGACGATGTGAACCGCGCGCGCGAAAAAACTTTGAAAAACGCCCGTGAAAAAGGGACGAATGAAATTTTCTATTTGCTAAAAAAAAAAACACAGACGAAAAAAAAAGAGAAAAACAGAAAAAGCAAGGTGAAAAACGAACGATCGATTGGAAAAAAAAAGAAACGAAAGATTGTAGCGTGTAACACGTAAAATAAAGAGAGAACGCGAACGAACGTGTCGCGAATATATCACTATGTTAACAGTGGAGATTAATATTACGGTAATATTAAGAGAAAAAAAAAAACAAAAACTTCAGATGAGTATATATCAGAACAAAAAGTATCGTTGTGTCTTCATAGGAGAATGAAAAGAAGCAAAAAAAAGATAAGAAAGAGAAAAACGAACCTTTGATTCGTCGACACGTGAATCCTCGAATCGACAACCCTTTCGCAAGTTCCTTTCCGATTTCTAGTTCATCGTGTAACGGTTCCGATAGTTCAAATTAACAAAACGAACTGCCGAGCTTGCGACATCGAAACGATAAACACGTTTTCTCGTTTTTCGAACACACAGATACAATACACGATGTTTCGAAACGATGAGTTTCGTAACACGAACACACAACAGAGTGTTCTGAAAGTAATTTTTCAAAGTGAATTGATTTTCGGTGGATAGATCCTCTCCGAGGTATTCGTTACTTGTTTGTAAACTCGATAAAGATGAATTTTTACACGCCCAGACAGTGAATAATATCAAAACGATAATGTGTAAAAGAATTCTTCCGATGATTGCATTCTTTCCTCGAGATTCGATGTGAGTACTGAAAAATATTTGTTTCAACGAAGTGTGTGACAAATTCTAACCTCTGCAGAATCAGCTGTTCTCCTGTATCGCAGATATTGTATTTCTATTTCGACCAAATCACATTACCGATTGTATTTTCCTTGTGATTCTGATTCTGCAAGGGTTCAACAGTTTCATTTCTCAGACTATGAACAGGAGTATGTATTTTAAACTACTTTTTTCTAATTCCATATTGCAAACAAAAATAGGTATATTAAAGAAGTAAATCTTGTTGACATATCATTTACTTTAAACACGATAATTTAGATGATTTAGTACGTTCTTTATTGGTGTGAAAATAGAATTGTCGTCTGAGAGATTGAGAACGAAAATTTTGTGTCGACTCTGATTTAGCTAACCCCAGACCAATAATACGACGTATAGTTTGAGTATCAATTGTAACCTATAAATAGTTTTCGAAATAACGATTCTCCTATTCGCTGAAGTAATCGATGAGATACCATTTTTCGGTATTGTAGTTATTTATCACAGTCTTGTAAAGTTAATTTCTTTTAACAGATACGTATTTTTAAAACTTAACTACAGATTTTTAATAGCACAACTTATCAACTTGTTCGTTCGAAAAATTTCCAAATTTCATCGCGACATTGTCGTTTCGTCCATTAATTAAGAAGTGAAAACACGAACTGTACAGAATCATTGGAAAAAAAAAGAAAACAAATACAAAAAACACTGTTTCCATTCGATGTCTGTTTAAATTTATATATGCGTGTGTCATACATGAACGAGCATGTTCCCCCTTCCGATCGAGAATAAACAGACGAAACAGCGAAATTCCGGCGAGAATTATTTTCACTTCAGTCGAAATCGAAACGGGAACATGGCGCGCGACGAACGAATCTCGAGGGCCCGGCGTTTTCAGTGTCGTCGAGCTCGTTTTCACAGTGTAGGAAATAAGAATTAAATCCTCGACCACGAAAGGAACTACGAACGGCTGTACGTAATGTAAAATAATAAAAAGCAGAAAAACAGAGAGAGAATGTACCTATATCTATTATACCACGTGACACATTGTCACGCGACGCGTGCATGTAAATTTATTATAAATAAATTATTATAAAGCAGCAACACCATTTTTTTCTTTCTTCTCTGACACGTCAACGTTGCATATTTTTTTATTTGATGAACGTACATTTCCATTGTGTTATCGTCGTTTTGAAATTGCATAGATCGATCAGAAGTTTTCGTTACAATATTTAGTAATGTTTCTTTTCTTCTTCTTTCACTTTCTTCAGGAATGTGTGCATTTTGTTATTTTGAATCAATAGATTTAAATTGTTGAACTTGAGAGAGTTGTTTGATAATTTATTTTGTTCGTTTGAAATAAAAGGAAAATTTTACATAATGAACATGCGTTTATAAATTATAAGAATATCTTCGATTCGATTCTACACCCTACGCGTAGTTGTATTGTCAGAAAAATTACAAGTGTGTCTCGTTTCGTGGAGTCTTGAGGTAAAAGAGCGAAGGAACGATCAATCACTGACCAATTTCTCTTTCTTTCGTTAATACTATATTTATCAGTAAGAAATTACGCATCACTATCGCAATACTATTCGATTCTTTGACGACCGACGTTATTCACTTATCGATGTAAGAAGAATACGTAAAAAAATAAGAATAGATTTGAATATATTATACGCATAAATAATTTACCTTAGATATATCATATTTCAACTCGTTGCATGCTTTATTAGACTCCTAAAGTTTAGTAAGAATAAATTTGAACGAAATTTCATTTTTTAATTTTTAAAGAAAAGAAAGCCGGTCCTCAAAGATAAAACGCGTTACACAACAACACGTCTTTATATGATCGTCGTCGCGCCATTGAGGATTCGACACGATTCTCCCAGTGTCACATTATCGACGATTAATAAAACAGACGAAGTGTTTCGATTACGTGTAGTATGTGGAATGTTTCTTTTATTCTACGTGTATGCACATCTGTGTGTTATATATACATATACTATGCGTATTGTCGTCTATGCACGATATTATAAATACAGCGCTTAAATACATTATCGACATGGGTGTGGGTGGTTTCGTCTAGCGAACTAACTAGTGGCTCTTCGCGGGCTTCACGTTCTCCGTGAATTGACCGACGATGTTACCCCTCGGATGGTAACAGGCCACTACCACACACGTTCCGTCCCTTTTGGCCATCGCTATTCCCATCTCAGTGGTGTTCTTCCAAACAATTTGTGTGAAATGGCCTAAAGAAATGAAAAAAGAAAAATATTAGCAATTACAATCTTTCTATAAAATCAATACTGTGATCATTTGCTAAAACACTACAAAAGTTAACTTAAGAAAGTATCTTTGAATCACTATTTAAATAGTACTATTCCTATAATTTTCTAAAAGAATTTTTTTAATGCAATAATATATTCTTATTTATTTATCACTTACTTTACTATATATATGTATATTTTTTGCAATAACACAAATTACTTAGGTATAAATAAGGAACATTTTTTTAATAAATTGCTCTTTATAAGGACATTATTGGAAACGAATCAATGGGATAGTTTGTATAGGACGTTTTACGTACATGTGTTTAAAACTTTTGGCTCAGTGCCATACTTGTGATCCTTCCTCTCGGAGTACCACTTTGAGACGACTTCTCGTGCTGGCACGATCAACTTTGGATCGGAACACTGCATCGAGTAGATGTTCTCCCCGTAGGGGGACGTCGACTGCGGGATCAGCTTGTTCGTGTTCAGCAACGTGTTCGCCCACGCCTGTGGATAGCATAAAAAATTTGTAATCGAGCGTTACTCTTGCACCCGCGCCTTCACGGAGAATCGTATCCTCGCTAAGTCACGATGGCATAGGGCTCGTGATAAATTGCAAGCGTTACTTATCGAGCTATTGTTATCACAGAATACGTGTGAGAAATTAAAGAAATTTGTAAAAACAGTTTTCACAATCTTAATTAGCTAGTGAAACCTAATTTTTAACCCTTTCGTTCGGAGCCTTTGGGCACACTTACATATTAACTTAAGCCTTAATTCGATCCTCTGCACTCTTCCACGTTAATTCAATGAAACGATACGACCAAAGAAGAAAATTTTGCGACCTTTGTGAAATGTCTGAGTCTGCCACGCGTGTTATGTACTAAAATTTGCCGCAGCGAAAGGGTTAACAATTAATTCTGCGGGGAAATTAATTAACTTTCTGTCGTTGTTTAATTTCTCATGAATATTCTGCAATGCAGTGAACACATTCACGACAATTTGATAGAACGTGTAAGAGATATACCTTAGCAGCAGACGTTAATTCTGAGCTTAACCTCAAGTCAGGAACACGATGTCTCCTCCTGTACTCGTTGTGGACGTGCAAAGCCTCCTGTTGCCACGCTTGTTCGTCTAACGCGTAATGTGGCTTAGGTTCTAGGAAGGTGATTTTTTTAGTAGGACTCGAACCTCCAGGCGGTAGAACGTTCTCGGTGAAGCTACCCAGGAAGTTTCCAGCTGGATTATAGTTACACACTACGTAGACCTCGCCGTTTCGATTCCTGGCCATACCGACGCCTAACTCGGTGCTGTCTCTCCACACTACTTGCGTGAAGTGGCCAGTTTTTAGGGTGGTGGGCTCCTTTCCGTACTGATGTTGCGCTTCCTCGGCATACCTGTGTTCAGATTTTGTTATTCATTATTGGGTTTTTTTAAAAATACTTTTTAGGTGTTTTACGTAGTTTTCTAGTGGAAGTCTGTTTTGTTCTTGGGATAGGTAGATATTTGGATTTAGATGAAAAATAAGAGGAAGTATTGAGAAGAAATATTTGAAGCTTAAAGTGTCGGAAGATATATCGTCATCTGAATGTTACAATTAGATAACTCAAAAATTGAGATTTTCTGGATTAGTGATATCAAAAATTATAACTTCCTAAGTTTGTAAGTTTAAAATTTGTCAACTTAAAGTTCATAAGTTTAAAGTCTGAAAGTTTAAAGCGTGTAAGTTTAAAGTTTGAAGTTTGTCAATTTAAAATTTCTAAGTTTAAAGTTTGCGAGATTAAAACCAACTCCACGTGAAACACTTCAAAAATTTTCGAACGCGTTTCTCTCAAAGTTAATAAATGTGATTCAGATGTTAATTACATCAATTTTTTGCCTAATGTAAATTCCAGTTACTCACCATTCGTTTACGGGCTCGTCACCGCCCACGATAGTCTTCGGATTGGAACTCCACATGCAGTATAAATTCTCGCCATAATCTATGTTCGCCCTATGCTCTAACCTGCCCCTAGCTGCCAGAATATTTGCCCAGTCCTGACTCGTTTTACATAACTGAAAACAATAAAAACATATTCATTGAAATTTTCTTAAATTCTTGAAAGAAAAAAAAAATGAAATATACAAATTTGCTAATTTCTACATACAGTACCGGATGGTGCACATAAAATCGGCCCCAAATGCAAAATACAGTTTTAGTTTTATAAAGAAACAATGTACTCTGCATTGGAGTTTCATTTGAAACACAAAATAAAGGGTACTTTTAACTTAAAAAGACTTGAATTTTAACAATTTACACGTTTATCGATATTTTCATCTCTGCACGAAACATAAATTTAAACATCTGCGTTTATAGCTGACTCGACAATGAAAAAATTGTTTGAAAAAGTACTTCGTACTGCGTTGAGGCGCAGCAACGTAATAACTTACTCGACCGTATGGATTCTAGTTAGGTTTAATTAGCGGCATTATAAAAAGGAAGTAACCTGTTTGTTGAGACGTAGAGGTGGCACACCATGCCTCGCGCGGTACAAATTGTGCGTCTCGAGGCAAACGTAGATAAATTCCTTAGGAGGCCCCAATCTGCGTACAGACGGTTTACGTGTGTCAGTCTTTGTTATCTAGAACATACAGAGAGAATTTGCCGCGTGATTGATGAAATCTGCGTATAAACCGGCCGCTATAAGTTCAAATAAAAACTCCTCACAAATTAATACATTTCACAGCGAAATAAAAAGAGTGCCGAATGTTTTATTAGAAACGACTTTCTAAGATTGACTCTGCAAAGGAATTAATATCAATAATATATTTACGTAGATGAAATTAAATGTGAAGTGAGATCTAAGTGTTTTTCTTTTAACGTTGCAAACCATCAATTCTTATTTAAAATTTTTAATTAAATGAAATTTCAAAGTTGAATTAAAAATTTTCTTTAAAAAATTTTGTTCGCGATTCCGAATTTCGCAGCAATTAGTTCATTAGTTTATTGACCTTAAGGGAATTATTTTTGGCTGAAACTAATTCAACATTCCTTCGTGCGATCTCTTTGCTCGTAACACCTAAAAGCTAACGCTTCTACGCTTTAACCTGCTCAAATGACCCGTATGCATTACAATTAGGGAAAATGAACCACGGCTTTACCGTAATCATTTTCGCTTGTAGTTATGCGTATATAGGGTGTAAGACAGAATTTTTGTATTTCGAAGAAAAACTTGTCAGAATCACGTTACTTCAATCTTACTTACTAGAACACAATTTATAGTCCTTTTTATATTGCTTCTCCACTTCTCCAAAATGCCTACGGAGAAATAAAAAAAAAATTGCCCACGAATTTTCACTGTAATTAATTGCGTAATACAGATTTGGCCTTACGCTCGTTATTGTATTCTTTAATTTATTTTGTTGTAGGAGAATTGACAGAAAAAATGTACAGTAAATTAAAAAATAAAATTTTAAACCACTAAGTGAAGCAAGCATTAAAAATTCGTGGGGTTTTTGTGACACAGTTAAATTCTAATCGAATTTTTCGTAGTGTTTGGCAAAAATAATGTCACAGTGGTGGTATCATTTAGTTGTTACAGAAATAAATAGCGATCAGTGTGTTAAATAAAATAATATTTCAAGAAAATCGGGATTACTCGCATTTCGTATCACAAATCCACACGAACTTTTTCCGGCACGCAGATTTATCCATAAAACTCGTAACAAACGTATGCCTTGCACGCGAGATGTAATTTGAGTTAATAAAAACTGTATAATAAATGAAAAGAAAATTTTTAAATATCACCTAGTATTCTAGATTTATCCATAAAACTCGTAACAAACGTATGTTGTGCACGCCAGATGTAACTCGAGTTAATAAAAAAAGCGCACAGTAGATTAAAAAAGAGAAAAATTTTGAAACCCATGAATATTGTTAAATATCACAAAGTATACCAAATTTATTTATAAAAATCGTAAGAAACGTGTATTGTGCACGCGAGATGTAACTCGAGTTAATAAAAAAAGCGCACAGTAGATTAAGAACGCGAAAAAATTTGGAAACCGTGAAAATGAGTGAGACTGCCGGAATAAAAATCGCGGCGAATATTTCCACGACACCGTGTATATACACAGGCGGCACGTCACGGTCAAAGCGAAATCACGCGATCGCGCGAGCGCAGCCGGCAATAAAGACGGTGACGTCCCTAATAACCTAGATGCGGAATACCCGACGGGGAGGTGGATCAACTGGCTGAAACGATTTCCCATCGTCCTATCGTAACGCGATCATTTCCAGCACGACACTCAGGAAGCAAGCTATCGTGAAATCGCCACGTTCTTCTTTATCGCGGGCGTTTCCGGTCACGCGTTTCTCCTTCGGCTTTGCGGCAGGCAGGCTAACAAGTGCAACAAGACATAGCCAATTAAACGTGAATTTATCCAATGATTTCCATTTCTTTTTCTCTCAACCTAAAGGAAACAAAGTAATTCGAATCGACGATACGAGAAGATTTACACGTTCCGCGACATACTTGAATTTCGATTTTATCGTTCGCGATACTCGGAAGATGCGCCAACTTCAGATATTCCTGTCCTCGGAGGCGAAGTATCGACCGGTTGTCGCGTATTTTTAATTTCCGCGCAAATGTCAAGAGAAGCTTCGTTCGCCACTTGATAAACGAAGGCAAGTGTGTGGATTTGCAAAAGTGCAATGGGAGATTGAAGGTTTTATTCGATCCCGATAGAAAGCTTGAATTGTTCTCCTGTGAATTAAGATGATTAAGGATGTATTTTAAAGGGATTAACGAGGTATACAGAGTCGTTGTTTAATCGCTTGGCGTATAGAATTTGTATTCTTCTTTTGTTCCGTATTATTATTTGCGTAATAATAGGGCTTTCGTGGTTGAGAATGAAAAAGTACTAATAAGAAAATGATGCTTCGTTTTTCCCATCGTTTCGCTCATCCTGTATGCAAATGACGACATTTCTGCTGTAACGATGTGTAATGGTTGCATTCAGGGTACGATGTATTGTAATTTTGTTATGAAAGCAAGTTTATTTTTTGATTAGAAAAGATTGCCGTGGAAAAAGGTTGTTTCGTTCGAATTATGTTACTTTGTATGTTAAGAAGTGATATTGTAAATATTGATATTAAAGTGAAATATAAATGTTAAAGAGTATGAAGTTCTCTTTTGAAATTTAGAGTGTTAAGAATTGACAGTTTGAACAAAGTCTATTTCCACATTCTCCCCGAAGTAATCAACCACCAGGGGACAAAAGAAAGAGCGATGCCAAATGAAGCATCGAGCCCCGAAAAAAGTCCCTGCCAATTTCCTATTTATACTCCTTTCTCCTCGGGTTCCGTGCGGGCTATTGTGAACGCAAGCACGTTGCCCGCGAGCAGGAAGAATAAATAGCAAAAGAAAGCAATGTGGTCGTCGATGGACAAAGCGCAAAGTGCTCACAAAGTGTTCAAGGAGGTTGGATGTTTGGTACTTCTCTTTTGGGATCTCAATGAAATTTTGCGGATACTTAAAATTAATCTGCAAGGAATGAAAGCGGGCTACACTTTTTCAAATTTAAATTTAAATAAAAATTAGTAGGGAAAAATTGTCAGCTCGGAAATTAGTGAAATGAGATCGTCATATGCGATACACAAATAGGATTAATCCAAAGATTACAACATTTCGTCGTTTTCCATATCCAAAAAATCTATCAATGCAACCGAGAAATTCTTCCATTTTCCAGTATCCAAAAATCTCTATCAATGCAACGAAAAAAATTCATACCTTTTCCAATATCCAAAAAATTTCTATTAACAGAACAAAGAAATTTGTGTTTTCCTCTATCCAAGAAATCCCCATCAATGGAACGAAAAGACTTCTTCCATTTCCCAATACCCAAAAAATCTATCAATGAAACGAAGAAACTTTTATATTTTCCAGTATCCAAAAGATTTCTATCAATGCAACGAAGAATTTCTTCCATCTTTCAATATCCAAAAAATCCATCAACGAAACGAAGAAATTCTTACATTTTCCAGTATCCAAAAATCTCTATCAATGCAACCGAGAAATTCTTCCATTTTCCAATATCCAGAAAATCTCTATCAATGCAACGAAAAAAATTCATACCTTTTCCAATATCCAAAAAATTTCTATTAACAGAACAAAGAAATTTGTGTTTTCCTCTATCCAAGAAATCCCCATCAATGGAACGAAAAAATTCTTTCATTTTCCAATACCCAAAAAATCTCAATCAACGAAACCACGAAATTCTCCCATTTCCCGATATCCAAAAAGATCTCGATCGATAAATCGAAGAAACGGTGCAGCAATGACCGATAGACAGAGCACAAAAGCGGGCGAAGAAAAATCGGCGAAGCCGGCTCTCGAAGTCGGTTAGTCATCATCAGTTGCGAGAGTAACGATTTCCCGAGGCGGTGTGCACGACCGTTCACAGACGTGTCTCTCGAAAAGGGAACGATCCTGAGTCATCGACAGATGCCAACGTATCCCGATGTCGCTCGGCTCGTCTGCACACAACGAAGGAAAAGGCACGCGTCTCTCGCGGGCCGTCACGTGGCCGCGCGAACGCGCGACGATGATTTACTTTGCCGTTTAACCCTTCGAACGGTAACCGGTTGCGAAACTCGTCCGCCGGTATGTTCGTTTAGCTCTTTTCCATTTCGGTTTCCTCCAGGCGTTTAGCCACCGTTGACGATGAGTAATGAAAACGAAATCGCCGTTCAGCTATCTGTCCTGCTTTTCGACCACGGTGATTTATACGGATCGTTTGCGGCCTGAGTGATAGGAGACAGAATAATTAGAGCTGTGATTGATGGATTTTTCATTCGTACGTGTGATTGTTTAATTTGTACTTTTCACGAAATTGTTGTATTGTTTTTGAAGGACGTTTGTTTTTAAATTGTGATTCAGAGTGGAGATTCTGAACTTTTTTATTTCAGGAATGTGCACGTTTTATGAATAAATTAGTGTCTCTTTACGTCTGATTTCAATCCTATCAAATCACTTTTGTCACTCGAAAGCTTCCATAAAAAAAATTTTTCGAGATTGTAGAATCCTCTGTTGATTGAAAAAGATATATGAGCCGTTCAGTGCACAAATCGATTAACTCCATAAAATGAGAAGTCGAGAAATTATTATAAATATAAAAAGTTATGACTATACCAAGTGCTTTGACACTTAAATTTAAGATTTTTCAAAAAGTGGAGTTAATCGATTTGTGCACTGAACGGCTCATATACAATAAATACAAAGTTAAGAAAGTATGCTCGATTCCAACCTTTCGTTGCATTCAATTCGACGGATCCTCTCACTCGAAAATCCTATATCAGCAATGTCTTATCTTTTGGCACGAAACACTCGACAGAAGCTTCACAAGCGTTCCGAAGCGGGTGTTCAAGTTCCACTTTGTATCCGACTTAGTTATCTCTCGTATTTGGAAATCCTACATCCCCCGTTATCCTCGCTATACAAAGCGGAACCTTTATCGGGAACAGAATCTAGTCGCAATTCACCGTAGAATCGATCGTGTACATCTCCAATGTTTATGATCTTCAATGTTTAAATTTCGTTTTACTCAAATGCATTGGAGTAAGATGACAGATTGTACATGAGAAGAATTGTTATCTTTATGGGTTGACGTTTAGCGTTTCTTAACACATCGTTGACCCGAATTCGCGTCTTTTGTTATATTTCTCAACTGTTACCGACGATAGACGGTAACGCGAATTATCACCGATCTACACCCCTATCGTCGAACAAAGTGTTAAAAATTATTTCTGAAAAACTACAAACGTCAAACAGGTCCATTTATCATTTTTGAATTTCGACCCAATCCACAGTTTCATATACCACCAGCAATGTGTTAATTTAATACTGTTCATTTTCTATAATTCATAATGTACGATTTAGATAAAAAATAAAGTTTGTTAATTTCACAGAAATATATATATATTCAATTTTTTATAGATTTTGTTGGATTATTAGGAGGAATGAGTGTGTGTGCGTGTAGTAGTAGCAAAAATGATCAACATACTGAGACAGATTAATATAAACATATATGGAAGAATAACATAGTAACCATCAGTTTTTTTTTTTTTCTTTAACGTCTCGCCGATCTCTTATGATTGCGTAGAGACGTGCCTTCCCCGCGTATGAAAAACTAAAGAAGAGTTTATAATTGAAATATCATCTCTTAATTTATTACCTAAATCCTTGGTAATCCTCCCCCGACTTACCTTATTACTCAATAAACGAACAATTTATATTCTATTTAATTAAATAAGATTATTAGTATATTTACTAATATGTAATAAGAGCATTAGACGATTGCCAACATTCATGCCTGATTTTCCGAGGTGGTGGGAACATTATCGACTACGTCACACATGTTTGTTTCAGCGTTACGCTACATTCCTATCGAAAGATACATAATTCTTCATTTTATTTTCAAATGAAATGTGCCTCTGTACACACCGTTTGTGTTTGATTTTCAAATCGGGCACGAACTTTTGCAATCGTCCAATATATTAGGTCATTCCATAAGTTCGTGGCGAACGCGAAAAATTTTTTTAAGGAAAATCCAAGGAAATTCTATAGATACCACATAATAGTCTTACCAAAAGAAAATAGAATAACATTGTGAAATGAGATGGCGCTTACGTTTTTTTTTCTCAAATTTGAAGGTTCGTTGGAAATATCGATCTAAATTATGAAATTCGGCAGGAACTTATGGGATGACCTAATATTTACCGATAAAATTACTAGTACATGTACCAATTAGCATATTTACCGGTGTCGAGGAGTATCTCGCAGAGTCAGGCGACGCAGATGACGATCTCGCGCTGCTGCAGGACATCCCATCGCTTCCTAAACTACCGTGAAAACTGCCGTGTAGAGAATTCGACAACGGCCCTGGAGATGCTGGCGACGCTGTCAAAGGGGATTTCGATCTCACCGAATCTGTCCTCGACCTGTAAAATCGTTCGAAAATCGGTATACACACACACACACACACACGCACGCGTTCGTCGACGGCGAGGAAGGTAAAAACGCGTGCCTTTTAGCTTGAAAAGAAACAGCGACACTCTCTCGTATACAGGCGAGCGTAGGTGCGAACGAGCAACTTCTACGGGAAGTTTCCTCCGAGAGCAAGCGTAACAATAGTTGTATAGTTGCTTGCCCGCGTGTTCAAACTACCGCCATCGAGTTTCCATTTATTTCTGCACCAGCCCCGATAGATTGGATTGGAAAGCGGCGTGATTGAACTGTTTGTGTTTGCAGCACAGCGTAGGAGGTAGTTTGTGCGTTGAAAGCGGAATTGCTTTGGTTATATTTGGGAGAACCATTCCTTTTAACGATACAATTTCGTTTCGCGATAGAAATTGATTTGCGATTATTTCTCATTCGCGAACAACGGGTTACTTTGTTTCTCTTGGATTATTTCTAACAACACCCTATGGAAATAATCAAGCGAGGACAAAAATGTCTCCGGGTTATTTTAAACAAAGGCACTAAGACTTCCACCAGATGCGTCTGGTGTCCGTCTTCGAGTCACACACTGCACAATGCGTTACCATAATGTAAACAGTTCCTAGGTATAAAGGGACCCCAACTTTCTTTTTGGGTGCCCAGAAACAGTCCTTTAGAAGATTCAATAGCGTAAAGACGTTTCCTCTGAGTCCGTAAATAAATAGCATATCACAAAGTTAAAAGACTATTTCTTTCAATAACCCGTTTCCAATAGTTTCTGCCGATAGAGTAGGTACCTACTTGAAATACAGGGGTATTTTTACCTTTGTCTTATGTTAACACGTTCCGTGTCACGGGAGAAATACAAGTTTTACCTGTTTCGAAATGTTGCATTCGAATATTTAATTACAGACAAATTTCGGTATCGCTTGAATTCTTTGCACACTGTTCCACCTTTGTGTACGTATACTTTGCATAAGCGACGAATACAAGAGTAACTTCTTTTCTTTGATAAAAACTCTATACCCGAACATTGCCACAGACCGTGTTAACGGAGTATACGCAATACTTGTAAATTGATATTAATTTCTATTATCGAAAAAGTAAGGAAAGAAAATTAAGCAACGAGCGCAAGGATAACTCCTTTCCCGAAAATTGTCACAGAACGTGTTAACGGAGTATACGCAATACTTGTAAATTAATGTTAATTTTTGATCAAGAAAAAATAAGGAAAAAGAATTGGACGTTCAGACTTCTGAGTAATACCTAAGAATCGTAAATCTCGTCTATTTACAAAACGATTCGACGAACACATAAAGCGAAACAGCATGGCTAACACTTCTACAAACTCTTAGGAAAACATTTTCCAAAAAAACGTTCGTGGAATCATTTTGAAAAAATTCCAACGTACCATTTACTAAATTATCGCGAAGAATGTTTAGTCTTTGGTCTCCCGCTACTCTTCCGCTTAACACCCCCTTTCATCTTTCGAATAATTCGCTGCAAGTTAGGCTGTACGCTGGATACTTTCGCGTTTCGTCTCAAATCGTTCACACGATCTGTACAACATATGCGCGACATGTCTTTTGATGCTTCGTTGGAACACCAGGCTCGCAGATTCGCGAGGATTCGCCAGATGTTCGAGAAATTTCTGAATCGACCGGTTTATCGCAGTTTCGCCAGATGTTTGTCCGATTTTCAGTTCCGTGTATCGTTCGATTAAATTCTGTTCTTACGGAAAGGAATGGTTCTTGAAAGTGATATTCGCCGCGATTAGGATGGTATAGTAATAATAAAATTCTAATTGAAGTTCCATGTTATACATTTCACACATTAGCACAGAATTGCACTTTTACCATTTTGTCTTTTTAACACGTTCACTGCCATGCTATCGTCAAGAATGAATTTTTTTATTGTACATGGTGCGACCGGAAGTTGTGTACAAGAAGACACCGGGTGATTCCTTATGAAAGAATCAAGGAAAAATATAGAATACAGTATTTTCGTCCGAGGCGTAATTTTCGAGAAAATTGAGTTTGAAAATCGCTTTCAAAATTTTTTTGTATATTTTTCTTTCTTTCTTTTTTCGTAAGGCATCACTTTGTACTCGCTTGCACATAACTTTCACACTCTGTATGTATCAAACACCCACGAGAAAACTGTCACAAATCGAAAAGGTGAAGGTGAAAAAACAAATTTCTGTTTGAAAAATTATTTAACTACAGTATTATAAAAACGGTACGTCAAATTAAATTTACTCACTGAAAGTATTACAGTTCAAGTCACGTTTCGTTTGATGGTAAATCTATATATTGAAAAATAATCCAAGAAACAAAGTGAAAATTGAAAATTTTCGACTTGCAACATTTTCCATCGTTCGATCATACACCACTTTCAATTATTATCTCTTATCTCCAGCTACCATGTAATATGTCACGCTTACTACTGCGAATGATTGATTGCGATATTTTGCTCATAAAAGTTCATAAACTAGATACGAATGCAAATGAGGAAAACAGAGTAAAAAAAGGAAAAAAACAAAACAAAACACCGGAAGTATCTGTCCATGCAACAAAGTTTACAAATCCACTATCGAAACAGGTTTAACTACTGTTATGAAATCTGTCAAACGTATGATTTCAGTGTTATCATTAAACAGAACAGTTTATAAAAAATCTACAAAATTGCTATAAAAAAAATTCGAACAAATCGTTCGTTCAGGATTTTCCCCGACAAAATCCAGATCTCGAGGAGCAGCAGAATTCTCGCCTTTAGCAGCTTCTTAATGAAAGAGAAGCAAAACGAATTGACGGCGGGGAACGTGTTAAATTAGCGTCCGTTTCTCTTCAGCCTCGTTTCTCGCTCATCGGGACGCTGAATCAAACGGAATTAAACAAGTGTAAGCAGTGTTAAAGCTGGCGCGCGTACAGTCCGCCCCGGAACTCGACGATCCACTCGAGTTCCGTCGACGGATCGTCCGCGCGGAGAGAAAGAGAGAGAGGAGGAACCTTTTGTGTCCTCACGCGCGTGGTCAAAAGCTGAAAGGTCGAGGAAAGCGTGCACACACGTCAGAGATCTTCTTCTCGTTGATCTCTCTCTCTCTCTTTCTCTTCTTCTCTTATCGAAAGAGGGGAAGAGAGATCTCGTTCGTTCGTTGCAGAACGCGATCGAACGTCGGGAAGATCGTCCAAACGTGCTCTGTGAAATTGCCCGAGTGCCTCTAATCTATTTCTAGTTTGTGTGTGTGCTTCACCGCGAGCTGAATACTGTAACGTTCGCTCCACACACGTGTTCGAGAATGCTTGTTTATCTTAATAGATCCTTGCTGTTCGATGTTTGTACGCGATTGATTATTAGGAGGTGATCTTAACCCTTTAACTACGGACACCTTAGGAACGAGTCTGAATTTTTGGTTGACTGGAACAACCGCGTGGAGAATTTTGGAAGTTCTGGTTTGAAATTCTTCAACTGACAGTGACACACTTTTTCCGTTAAAAAAGAATTTTAAGTTTTTCATGTGACACGAAGTTATTGTTTTTATACAATATTGTAATATATTATTTGGAGGTAATTTTGATCTTTAAATTACAGACGTCTCAGAAACGAGTACAAATTTTATAAATTTTCAGTTCATTGTCACAATTATGTGGAGAACTTTGAAAGATCCCAGCTTTGAGTATCTTCATTTGACAGTGAATGGCACACTATTTCCATTAAAACAGAGAATTTTAATTTTTTCTATATGACATTATGAAGACATTGTTTTTATTCAATACGTCACAGAACAACGTCTTAAAGACAGATGTCCGCAATTAAGGGTTAATCTTTCTTTTGTGCGTTCTATCAAGCCCATCTTAAAGAAGAGAAGCGAATATTCGTATACCTTAACATACATCAACAATTATCGAGCACACACCTCGAAGAAAATCAAAGTTACAAAACCTTCCAACGGGGAAGTTGCAAAAAAAAAAAAAAAAAGAACAATGATTAAGAACTACACAAGTACGAGCAGTATCAATTATTCAACACGAATATCGAGTACCTATACGCGAATACGAATGGTGGTAATGTAATAAATTTGCATACACATTTCCATATGAATGCAGAATATTTATTTAAGAAGATACACGCGTGGAGCCTCTTCTGTGTCGCGAACGATTTACGCCATCCTTGTTCGCCCGGCGTCGCCGTTAAACACGCGCGAAATCTACGATCGGCGCGAGCTCGATCGCGCGTGATCCGACTAATGAATAGCAATTTCCCTCGCCTGAACCCAGCCTTCGTCTGCCACGAAATGAATGGCCCAGCAAAAACAACCGATCGAAGGATTATCCCGGGTAATTGTATCTGACACGAAGAGCCGGCTTTGTTCGCGAACTTGCTCGCCGTCGCCGACGGATTTATGCGAGCCGAGTGTCTTTACGGAGGATGAAGATCCTTCGAAGATTTAACAAACTAGGGGGAATTAATTTGAAGAGAGAGAGAGAGAGATTTCTTCGAAGCAACACACTTGCGCGTACAGTGATAATGGAAAAATTTAAGAACTTGTGGTATGTTTAACCAACAGGGGTTCATGGCACGGATTCCAAGCGACGTTACTTTTGAGAAGTTTTTCTACAAGTTTTTTGATAACAATAGCCTATTCAAGCCAGAGGGCAAATCCGGCTAATTACCTGATGGCCGCGGAAATTCTCCACTTCTGCGGGCCACATGGTAAGCCAGTACTTGCCTCTGCGCGCTCAGTAACGGTAAACATGCCATAAACCCGTAAAGTGGACGTTTCGGCAAAATCGCCACGCGGGGCTGACCGTCTCTCCCTCTCTGCCACCGCCCTACTTTGCGGACCACGGGGGAGTGCACGAGGGCCTAGGAGAGCGGCTCTAGGGGTTGAAAGGCCCATGATTTGCCAACTAGGTAAACTCCCCATTTTGGCAAAAAGAGATATATACAGCCAGTTCACGACCTTAGCGCAGATTCTAATATACTTAGAAACAATCGACAC